TACGTATCACTTGCTGGTGCAAATGTGCAATGGTGCGTAGTGCATACACCAGTATAAATTTATTTATTTATTCTTCATAAGATTCTCTAAATTCAAAATTTTAAGAAGATTCTCCTCATGATGGACTGCCACAGACTAATTAATCCTTGTGGTCCTTCTACTTTCTCAACTTTAGATGTATAACCCCATCATTTATAATTCTAGTTGGCATGATCCCTTCTCGACCCCCACCCCCAAGTTTATAATTAAAGAGGAACATACATAATAGACCATTCTTTTTTTGATATGGTGGTCATGTGATATTATGGATTAGTTTTTGCGCATCATCTAAGTCTACTTTTTAATTTGATCAAGAGTCATTTATTTTAAGATTAAAGAATTTATAAAAAAAATTATTTATGATGAAAACAATAAAATTAAAATAAAAACATCTTTGGTTAGTAAGACTACAAAGAGAAAGCAACATCTTTGGTTGAATATGAAGCTACATGGTATTTGTTTTGCGGGTTAAAGATGACTTTTAACTGTTATGATATTTTGCCATTTTTATTATTGGTTTTTTTGAATCTCATTTTGTTTTTGTGGTTTCTAATTTTAGTCCAAGTTCCTTATTGACGAAAGCCGCAAGGAGCAAATCAAGAGTTGGATTATGACTGATGTTAATGAAAAATGGAAAAGCTATAAAAATGAGCTAAAAAGTGCAAGATTTGATCTGTTGCTAACAGTAGATGAAATGTATGAAAAGATTAATGATCCTCGAGTTGATAAGGAACAATTTGAAGTGCTTGTTGAATATTGGCGTAGTGAGAAAGGAGAGGTATGACAATTTTGTTGTGCAGTTGACATATTGCCTAATTTTCTATTGCCACAAATAACTTATACCTTTTGTTTTCTTCCAGAAAATTAGCAAACAGAATAAAGAAAACAGGCTAAAACTGGAAGAGCCCCGTTGCCTAGGCACCAAGACTTTTGCACAATTTGTCAATGAGAAGGTAATTGATTTTTTTTGCTCAAGCTACTTTATTAAAAAAAGCAGTGTACATACTAATCAAGTGATAATTGAAATTAATTTAGGGCATGATGTTAGATTAGTAATAAATTAAATTGTTATCCTATCTTTCTTTTTTTAGTATAATTGCTTAAAGGTATATTAGAATTTTATTATTTATTGCTTTTTTATTATCCAGGAAAGCTCTGTTGAAGGGAGAAAGTTGTCAAGGGCTGAACTCTACATTCAAAGTCGAACAAAAAAGGATGGGGGACCTGTAAGTGAAAAGGCAAGCCAAGTGATGGTTAGTAAACACAAACTCTGTGTTTTAAATATGAGAGGGTTATTCTTCATGGTATAAAAAAAATAATGAGTTATTTTGGGTTAAATGTCATAGGAACAACTTAAAAACTACATGAGTGAGTCTACTTCTTCTGCAAATGCATTAGAGGAAAGTACATCTTGGCAAGATGATGTATTCTCTAAGGTGAAGGGATCTGACAAGAAAGGAAGGGTTCGCTGCTTAGGGAAGGTCCCAACTTCTAAAAAATCTGTCCCTTCCACGTCTGCAAATGGCAATGTTGAGGAAAGGTTGAGCGAGGTGGAGAATATGTTGAGTGGATTAATGCAGCTAGTGAAGGCAAGATTCCTGGACGAGAATATCACAAATATTCTACAGGCTGCCAACCAATTAGGTGCTGCCAATCAATTAGGTACTACCAACAGATTAGATAGGGAGGTAAACTTCTTTTGTTCAACCATTACAACTTGACATTCATTTTCTTTGTATTCTTGCATATATATGGTTTGGTCGATGACAAATAGATTTATCATTTGAAGCTTTGTTGTGGCATATTTTACTTTTTGTTTTTATGAGTAGTGCTAGGGGCACTCGCCTCTTGCACTCTCCGGCTAACACTTCCCTTTTCATTGGGCCTTGTAAGCTTGTTTTAGGCTTTGAGGTGCAACCTCTTAACTACCAGAATAATGTAAAAAAAAGTGAGTTTTAGCCGAAGAGTGCAGAAGGTGAGTGCCCTTAGCACTCCTCTGTTTTTATTTTCTTTATTTATTTTGATCTTTTCAACTGGATCCTTCCATTTTATTTCTATTAATTTTTTGTTTCTTTCTAAGTAATTGGCCCTAATCGTTCTATCTCTAAAGTTAGGCGTGTTTGCGATGGGTTTTTGGTGAGTTTTGTTTTTGTTCTTTTAAATTTTCATTCCAAATCTATACTCATTGAATTTTATTCTTCAATAGGCACATGCGGCCCGTCAAGAGGTATCTCATACTTATACCTCTTTTTTCGGGTTTCCCTATTTTTTAAGTTTAATCTTTCAAATCTATTTTTTTTATTTCTTTTGATTGAATTTTTAAAATTTTAGTTATCCCTTAATTTCTTTCTACTGAATTGTAGGTTCCGGATGCTAATAGTGGGCAAGGCTTTTCCCCAAATAATCGTTCCTCTTCACAATCAAGCCATCACCTTTTGTTTCGCCAAAATGAAAATAATGAAGAAAATGATGGGCAAAGGGATTGAAAAGCATGTTTGTGTCTCCCTACTTGACAGTTTAAAGACTAATGACTTTCTAGTTTGATAGATGCATTTTCTTTTAGATAATTTTACAACTTTTGATATGAGATACA